CTCAAGGGTTATAAAGCAATCACTTAGGGTTCCTTTCTTTACATAGGAATTTGGCTGGGGGCGGGAACTGTTGTGATAGTGTAAAAACTCATACAGCTAGCTCAATTTTTTTTTTTTTAATTTGGCAACTGAGAATTGCATCTGAAATGCAGACTGTAGAATATTTTTCTTTCAGAACAGGCTGATGAAAGTGTCTCCTATTGGTTTTTTTTTTCCTGACAGTCATTTATCAGCGCCTATTTAAAGTTATTTTGTCACTTTGCTGATTTAAATTTCCCTTGCATTTCCACCTGTGACGTCAGTGGCAATGATATACTTCACACGTTAATTTAGTTTGTACCCTTATAAGAGCAAGTTGAGTTGAACTGAATCTTCCTTGTCCTAGTAACATTGTATAAATAGTGGCTTCTCTGTACAAAAGGTTGTAATGCCTCCTGATGGACATAATTTTGTGATTGTATTTAAGAGTTGAATAAATCTCACCAGCTTCCTGAAAATGATCATAATGCATCTTTTGGAAATCAAAAATACATGCCTACTTTGCATATTTGCATTAACATGGCAAAGATTGTATGGAATACCTGTTTTTCAAAAAAAATAAAGGTTCAGTCATAAAAGATGTAGCATTTAAGGTCTGAATTTATTGAATTAGATTCCAGGGAAGCGCTTATTCCACTGGGCCATCTCCCCGGCCCCTGAATTAGATTCCAGTGTGCCTGAGTTTTGGAATGTGGGTAGCCTTTTAAAAGTACTAATTTTTTCCAAAATTTAAAAAAAAAAAAAATCATTTTCAAAAAAAGAATTACTGGGCCCAGGGAGATAGCTCAGTAGAATAAATGCTTGCCTGGCAAGCACAGGGTCCTGAGTTCAGTCCCCAGTACCACAAAAAAGTCTGTCAGTGCTTGTGTTTCAGTTTTTAATCCGCATGGAAATTTGCTTCATTTGGAAAGTTCAAAGGACCAAGTCATTCAGGTTAATTTTGGCAGCATATAAAAAACTTAGGGCAGCTGGAGAAATGGCTCAGTAGAATAAGTGCTTCCCTGGCAAGCGCAAGGGCCTGAGTTCAATCCCCAGTTCTGCCCAAAAAATAAAAATTAAAAAAACAAAAACAAAACTTGGGGCTGGGGAGATGGCTCAGTGGAATAAGCGCTTCCCTGGCAAACGCAAGGGCCTGAGTTCAATCCCCGGTTCCACCAAAAAAGAAAAACTTGGGGTGCTGGGGAGATGGCTCAGTAGAATAAGCGCCTCCCTGGCAAGTGCAAGGGCCTGAGTTCAATCCCTGGTTCCGCCAAAAAAAACTTGCACACTATCGTTGATGAAGGTAAAACAGAATGTGCAGTCCGTCCTCTTGTTCCTGCGAGGTTCCCCTAGGGGGATTCATGTTAACTCCATCATCTGGCACAGTTTACGTCACATTCTGTGTGTGTAGTACCAAAAGAAAGCTCCATTAAGGGGTGTATTTCATAGCTGGGCCACTTGGAAATTTAGTGGGTCCTGTGGAAGTTGTAAATCATATATTTGCAAATGGTCTGGGGACAAAAGTGAGTAAAGTACTCCAGAGAAACTGTTCTGAGTCACTCCTGCTATTTCACCTACCTGTGTTACAAGCTGTTGTTTAAAATTGTCTTCCTTCCTAAATTGTACATAACACAAAAGCCAAAAGCATAAAAAAAATTTTTTTAAAACAAAAAAGCATTATGTAGTAGCAGAGTTCCCAAAGTAGAAATACCAACTGTCAAAGCTTCTTAACGCTGGTCTCTTGTGTTTCTGTGCTCGCACAGATTGGTATCTCATCCCATAGTCTGATGTCAGCTGATTGCCTGGGTCCTTTTGTGTTTTTTTTTTTATTTTGAAAAGAGAATAAGGGAGTGGTGCCCACCTCTAATCCCAGCTTTCTAGAAGGCTAAGACAGGAGGACCACAAAATCGCCTAACCTGGCCAACCTAGCTAAACGCTTTATCAAAATTGTAAAAAGTTTTTGAAGGGCTGCGTATATAGGTCAGTGCAGAGGCCCTGGGTCAATCCCCAGTACTCAAAAAAAAAAGTTTGTTGCTCCTTCTGCAGCTTTAACTTCCCCAGTGGGATCATATTTACATAACTCTTCATTTCCCAAAGTGGTATTTTATTAAGTAATCTCCCCTTGCAAAAGCATTATTCAAGTATTTCTTCCAGGTCCAGAGACTTGCCCCCTACATATCCATAACCAGGGCTGTGGGGGTAGCAGAGATAGTGTGCTTGGTTTACCTAGCTAGTGTGGTCCAAACCATGGGTTTGGTCATTACCACCACAAAAATAAATAAAAAGTTGCACAGCTCTCTTGAAATTATCGGGCCGGCCAAATAGCTCAGCGGATTAAAGCGCCTGCTTAGGCAGACACAGGAACGGGGGGGTTCAATCCCCTGGCCGGCCCCACTCCCAGGGCACGCTGAGGCGCAATTGAGACTGGGCGTGGCGCTGAAATCGCAGCTCTTGGGAGGCTATAAACTGGAGGATCACTCCAAATCTTATCTACACAATGAGACCCCTCTACACCCTGTACACCTTGTCCTAAATACACACACAAAAGATTCTGAATGCTCTTGGGGCCAGCTTGTGATCTGTAGCTGTTTTCTCACTTCCTTGTTTAATTGATCTAACTTTTAAGAACCTGCCAATTAAATAATGCTTTCAAAATTAAGATCAGTGGCATAATAGATGCGTTTAAGAGTTAAACAGCAGAATAAGCGCCTGTTTAAGGCAAGCGCAGCAGGGGTCCGGGTTCAATCCCAGGCACCACATGCCATGGACCACCAGGCGACCCGCGACGTGAGCGCAGAGCTGGCTGACTGGGCGTGGCGCTGTCGTGTCCTACCACTGGAGAGGCTGAAAACCGGAGGATCACTGCGTCCGACCTGCGTAGTCAGATCATGTACCAAAATATTTGACATATTTTTGCATAAAATGACACAAAAGCTGTTAATGCATTTTGAAATCCTAGATAGAGAGGATACAGAAACGTTTCAACAGTTGATCTAGCTCCAAAATTGCTTATGAATTTCACTGTTTTACAGGAGATTTATGTTTTAGCATAACCTCTAATCCAAGAAGGCCCGGTTAAAAACCAATCCCTTTTTAGTGAAGAATGCAGTTTCCTAATGCGTAAGACAGTTTTAAAAGTCAGATGCCTTCTTCCCGACCTCAAGCTGTTTCTTCTCTCAAGCTAAAGCCTTATTCCTACTGAGCAGGAGAAAAAACAGGCAGCAAACTCTACATAAAAATTTAACGAGATGAACACGAGTCCATGCGCTCAACTGCTTAGAGGGCGGCGGGCCGGTGAGGGAGAAGATCCCAGCCGCCTTCCCCACCCACGGAGCACATTTTTTAGACTACTCAGTTTTCAGAGAGGCTCGGCTGCTTAGATCCTCCGGAAGAAGAAAGGCGAGCTAGGGCGGCAGCCATTGCTGGAGAGACCGAGCAATTGCAACCACCGGGTCTCGGGCGGTTGAACGGCTTCTACAGCTTGGGGCGGGGCACGCCCCTTGCGCGCCGATTGGCTGGTCTGTGTCTCCGCCCCCTCGGGCCGCCTCGGTCTCTCTCCTTTGACCTGGATTTCAAGCGGTGCACTGGGCAGCGGTTGGGCAGGCTTCCCTTACGCTAAAGCTCAGTTTGCCCAATGAGGGATGAGCTTCGCGAGAGCTGACGGGAAAGGCGCTGCCTATATAGGCAGCTTGCGGGGCGTTTCTTCGCGCTCCGGTAGCAGTGCGGATATTGAGAGGACGTGGGGTTGTCGGGCTGCGAGCCCCAACTAAGCCTGAATCTCAGGGACGATGGCGGAAGGCGATAATCGCAGCACCAATCTGCTGGTGAGTCCCAGCGGCTTGTCCTAAAGGAATGGAGCCGGGCCGTCAGGCTTCAGTGGGCTCAGCAGGGAGGGTTCCGCACTGGGCCCAGCCCGCCTCCCGCGGTTTTCCGTGCAGGCGATAAGGCCCGACCCCAAGTCTTTAACTTTGGGGGGGCGGTCCCTCGTTCTGTCGACCTGTGACATACTACTGGGGGGGGGGGAGGTGGCTGCGTGACGGTGCCAGGAGGGCGCGTGACAACTCGCTTCAGATACGGATTGAGGAGAAAGTGGGAGAAAGGGGACTGGGGCAAGAAAAAACCTGGGGTGCAGCTGGGGACGGACCAGCGCTTTCTGGCCCAAGGCCCAGCCATATTCAGGTTCCCCCCCTCGTTGATTTTAACCTTCCGTGCCTTTGTTGTTTTTCTCCCTAAGCCATGGGCAGAGGTGGAAGATCAAAGGGCTGCTACGGGGAAGCCTTAGCTGGCACAACTTGAAGGGAAGCTGCGAGCTCATTGTGGGGAACTGGAAGTGGGGTTCAGCAGAAAAGACAATAGGAGGACCTAGCCTCGGCTGGAATTTGGATACGGGTTGGTCATAGGAGGAGGACTGGACACAGTTTTGGAATATAAAGCAAGGATGCAAAGGAACTGCATGAGTTAGTGGCATAGGCAGACGAATTTAATTCGTTATGACCTTATCTGCACCATTTAGGCAAAAACAAGAGATGCTCTTGTATTTTCCAGAAAAAGGCGGCCACACACTAGAAATGAAAAGAAGCAGGGTGTGGTGGAACATGCCCTGTAACCCTAGCATTCCAGAGGCAGAGGCAGGAGCATCACTCGGATTTTGAGGCCAGCCTGAGTTGCAGAACGAAACTGTACCTTAGAAAAACAAACAAACAAACAAAAAAAAAAACCCTAATTTTTGGCTTTTGCACTTCCAAGATCCCTAATACTGGTGAATTAAGTGACTACAGAGCAATTTTGATTGTGCATTATTTTCACGGCTTTTTAGATATGCCCCCCCACACATCCCTTTTCTGTTAGCCACCAGCCTGGCTCCTTTTAATAGGATTAATTAAGGTACAAAGAAATAGCCCAACTTCTGTTGAAATGACAGGTCCTGGCACAGAGCTCCTCATTCCCAACTCTGCTGTTCTTTTCAGCAACGAACTGTATGGAAAACAAGGCCTTTTGTTTGTCTATTTCCTCACCTGTCTGTAAAATGGATAGTAACCACCTTCCTTTTAGACTTGTGGGAGGATTAATTGAAATATAAGCTTATATTAAATGCTTAAGGTTTGCACTGTATACTAATTTCTTATTTACTGGTATCTAGCATGGGATATAAAGTCAGGAGTGGGCTGATGAGATGGCTCAGTGGTCTAAAGCACCTACTTAGAACAAGCTTAGCAAAGCACAGAGACCACGGTTCAATCCCCCAGCACCACATGCCAGCCAGCCCCGTCCCCTGGTGGGCTGAGCTGGCCACACACGCACACAAATAAATAAATAAAATTTTAAAACATAAAAATAAAAATAAAGTCAGGAGTACTGGAGTCGCCTTAGTGACGACTGTGACACAGGTACAATCCTTGTCAAGGCTAATTTCCGTTATCCTATCATTTGCATGTTTCCAAAGTGACACTTAAATTTCTTGTTTAATTTTTTTTTTCCTTTACCAAGTTCAACTTTAATGCTTTTGCCACATGAACTTATCCTACAGTTTGACTTTTGGCTGTCATATTTACAGAGGTCTTGATGTCTAAGCAAAATGTCTTTGGGAGTGATAGGAAACATAGTATTGTGATACACTAAGAATGAGGCAGGCCTGGGGTACAACATGAGCTCAAGGCTAGCCTGAACTGCATAGCTAAACCCTGCCTCAGAAAATTTTTTGAAAAGCCATATGTAATTTGCTAAAGTAGTTTTCCTTACTAGTGCAGTGAGTGCCAACATCTAAGTGATTCTGTTTCCGAGAGTGAATATTGGTAAGGGAAAGGCTTTCCTAATGGATTTACAAGCAAGGGTTTAAATCAATAAGATGACAAAAATGGATCATTTTAAACCTTCTAAAATGAATAAACTTAATCGAATTTTGGGCCAGAGGGTAGCTCAGCAGCTTAAGTGCCTCCCTGGCAAGCACAGGTCCTGAGTTCAATCCCTGGTACCAAAAAAAAACCAAAAAGAATCAGATTTTTTAGTGTTCTGGGCATTGTTACATGACTCCTTATGCATGACTTTGGGGAAATTAGTTTACTCATTCTGAAATTAAAGGAAAGTGAGCTCAAAAGGATTATTATCCCTGTGTCGTAGATTTCAGCCTAAGGATTGTCATATCACAGATGTAAAAAGAGTAGCTCAGGTGGTCAGGGGTATAGCTCAGGAGCACAGCTCCTGCCTGACAAGTGCAAGGTCCTAAGTTTGTCCACTCCCCTACCTCCCCCAAAAAAGAAAGAGTAGTCCACTGCTTGGATTGGGAAGGTAACATTAAAGAGTGGGTGTTTTCCCTCCATTGGTTTCTGGTTTGAGTACCAGGGTTGCTGAGCATTTCCCCCTAAGATCTAGGCAGTTTAAGATAGCATAGCAATTTTTTTTTTTTTTTTTTTTTAAGTTTTTTAGGGAAGGGTCTTAGAGATTGAACCCCTAGCCCCTATGCCTGCTTGCAAGCGCTTTAATCCTTTGAGCTATTTGGCTGGCCCTTGTTCTCTTTGTAACAAAGTCTTACCATGTAGTTCAGGCTGGGCTTGAACTCACTATATAGTTCCCGCTGGCTTCAAACTTTTCAGGATCTTCCTGCCTCAGCCTCCCACTGCTAAGATGGTAGTCACGTCCCACCACACCCAGTGAGCAGCAGTTTGATTGAGGTCTTTTAAATATTTGGTGCCTCAGAAGAATTTAACTCTATGAACATAGAAATGTTGAGCGTTGTAAAATGATCACTGTAATGTTGATCACACATAGGCTGCGGAGACTGCAAGTCTGGAAGAGCAGCTGCAAGGATGGGGAGAAGTGATGCTGGTGGTTGATAAGGTCCTCAGATGGGAGAAGGCCTGGTTTCCACCTGCCATCGTGGCTGTGGTCTCTCTGGTATTTCTGTAAGTGTGCTATTACATTACTAAGGTTGTGCTTGTTATTAATAGAGGATCAGGTAGTACATAGCCTTTGTTTATAGAAGCTTTGTAGTACATAATCTGTAAACAATACTTTTTTATTTATTTATTTTTTTAAACAAGCAGTTCACTTATTTTCCAGAATTTTCAGTGCTTATGTAAACTTGATAGTCTAATGCAGTGCCTCTCAAACTTGCCATCCTTAGCACCCTTCCTTTCCACTCTTCAATTATTGAAGAAGGACACCTATATAAGAGGCTTTGCTGTTGATATTTACATTAAGGAATGAAACTCTGATATCAGCATGCCCCAGAGCAGAAAACCACTTGTGGGAAAATAGAGCACAGTGAATTCCATGTTGGAAAACCTGTGCACTGGGTGAATAAACATACTCAGCTAGGAATAATGATAATCTGTTTTTCTAACCTTGATTAATTTTTCTTTTTTTTCTGAAACAGGATTATCTATTACCTAGATCCATCTGTTCTGTCCGGCGTTTCCTGTTTTGTTATGTTTTTATGCTTGGCTGATTACCTTGTTCCCATCCTAGCGCCTAGAATTTTTGGCTCCAATAAATGGTAGGTGGCATAATGATTTGGCAGTCCAATTTCTGAGAAGTTGCTGAAGCTGGTGGTTGTGATGACTATGCTGTAACTGCAGACAGTTCTCTAATTAGCAGTCACCTAGGATTGAAGATTTATTGGTTTTCTGTAAATAATTTCTTAGCTTTAGATATAAATCATGAAGTTCCAATACATAAATCACCATAGTACTTTTTATGGTCAACTTTATTTTGACTTTTTTTTTTTTTTTTTGGAGACTTTTTGTTGAGGTATTTTTTAAAGGTAATGTTTTAATAAGGATTGAAAAAAAAAAAGGATTAAAGAACTCATAATAAACTTTCTCATGTCATATACATTGACTTTTTTTTTTTTT